AGTTTTAATTTTTTTTACCATTACTAAGTATGTGAGTATTTTTAAAAGCTTGATACATGTGGCCAATAGTTTTTAAGAAAAGTTATATCAATTTACAGCCCTCTGGTAGCACTCATTTAAGGGGGGAAAATGTTATCATTTAAATATTTTATTTAATATTTCCTTGATATACTAATTGGTTGAACATGATCTTTTCATGTAACTATTTGCACTTCTTTTAAATGTTAATGGTCTCCACTTCTTCTCTGTTTGAGTACTTTTCTTACTGGCTTATAAGAACATTTTCTATTACCAATATTAGTCCTTTTATTTTTCACATTTTTTGCAAGTGTTTCTTGTTAGCCATTTGCCTTTCAAATTTACTCTTGATATCTTCTGGAATAGATATTTAAAACATTTATGTATAAAAAGTATATATATAAATAGTAATAATTCTCATATCTATAAATATCAAAACTAATCTATCTATATATATATTAATTTCTCTTCTTGTGATTTTTCTCCCTTTTGGGCCTAAAAAGTCCTTTCCTAGTTTGTGAATATAGTCACATTATTTCTTCTTACTTTTAAAAATTATTTCACTTTATAGATTTAGCTCTTCAATTTAGGTGGGATTTGTTTTGGTGTGCAGTAAGAATTCAGCCTACATTTTTCTCCAAACAGCTACTTCCGTGTATTCACACGTTTTGATATAATTATTTTTTACACAAAATTTTGTATTGTATTTGTAAAAATACTCAACAGTTACCTATAGAAAGATGAAGTATATTTTGGTAATCCACGCACTCTCAGGTTCGAGAAGTCCCTTAGAGAGTAAATGGGCCATATTCTTCATCTAATAAATGAGAAAACAGTTCTGGGCACACTGTTGGATTTGGCCAATGTTTCACATACTGATAAATAATGGAGAGAGCCTAGGTCCCCTGTGGCTTCCTAAGACACCCAGGCAATATTCTACAATTATATATTGAAATCAGTGTTTTCATTAAGTCCTCAAAATGTCAACAAACAGGCACTAAATAGGCCAATTCCATCTAGGAATCACCTTAAAGTGATTCTTGAATTCTGGTTTGCACTAAAGCTGAGGACAGTATTAATAAACCATCACTACTACTCTTCTTTTCAAAATCCTACTCCTTTTCATTTTTTTCTCAGATAACGGAAAATGACTCAAAGCAACAGATATTACAACAGGGTTCTGAGCATAGATGGCGTACACGCTAACTAATGTGTCAATGTTCAAGACTGTTACTTAAGATACATTGCAAAAATTCTGAAAAGTCATTGAAGTTTAAAGAATAAAGACCATCCATAATCCTATATGTCCATATAACCAATGCACACAGATTTATTTTGCAAAAAGTGGGATTACACTTTACAAATTTCTTTATAAATGTTCTTTTCACTTGCCATCATATGTTGAGATCTTTCAGGTTAGTAATGTAACTTTACATCATTGTTTTTAAGCTTATGTAATATTCAATTGTGAAGCATATTTATTTGCTTCTATTGATAGACATCTAGAGTTCTGTGGCAAACATTCTCAAAAAGACACCTTTCTTAATGAGGTTACCTTTAATGTTTTACATGGTGAACTTCAGTCTGTAATCCAAAATCAAATTTTTTATCAACATACAAAATTAGTTTCAGTGAACCTTTTCCCAAAACAGGAAGAGAACTTAACATCTAATTGCCCCACACTCGCAGTTTTGTTCAGGTCACTTGGATTTTAGTTCCAAAGTGTTAATTTCCCCCACATTATGCATCTCTTTCAAAATTCTTTCATAATATTTGCATTAACTATCACGCCACATTATCAGCAACCGAGATGTGAATCTATGTGTTAGCTGTTTATTGCTCTCTCTCCCCTGTGTCTTTCTGTTTTCCTCTCTGTATTCATTATTCTCATTTTCTTTTTGTCTGGTACCTTCTCAAAAACTTTCTGAAAGGACAGATGAGTACCTATTTGAAGTATTTTTTGGCCGTCCATTTTGGCGAACCACAGACTCACAAATGACTTCAACTGTGTGCAGACACATCTAATAAGTCAATGGATGCTTCAAATTATTTAATGTTTTCACTAAGCTATAAATCCACTGTCAGTGAACACTGAGGAGGTGGTGGCACTTCACAAACCACTTACTTGAGCAGCTCCAGGGTTTTGTGATCAAGGGCAAGTCGAGGGTTTCCGGTGAGGTCTAGTTCTTGCAGCTTTGGAGGCAGGTTTTCTGGTAAAGTGACTTCACTTAGCTCGTTACAGCTCAGGTCCACACACTGAAGGAACAAGTGGAGACACGGAGGGTTAGCCTGGAGAAGCTGTCCGGGTGGTTCTCTGCCCCTCCTCATCGCAGAAGCATCAGTCTGGCCATTCACTACACTACACGGGCTAAATGCAGAAAAATAAATTTGTCTGCTGCTATGCTATAAACATTTAAGACATATTTTGCTAAATGCAGTTAACATTTTTAGTTTCTTTGAGCAAGAGAAAATCCATGCTCTTTATTCTCCCCATTTTTATCTTTTTAAGTTTTCCTCTCCATTAAAAAATGAAGCACTGACTGAAAAACCCTAAGTATAGTTTTTTCTTAATGCTTACAAAGTCTCTGCACGTGATGTGGCCATGAGGGTCACAGTCACAACATCAAAATGTGAAAAGGCAAAGAACAAACATCCAAAATGAGAAGATAACTCAAAAGAAGCGAAATAAGAAATTGGTACAAGACTAGTAGGCATGCCTGCCTGCCACATGAAAGGCAAAAGGCATGAGTCAAACAGGGTTCCTGTCCTCCAGGCACCCAACACCTGGACTCTTCAATAGCTCTTGGCTAATCTCACTTGGAAAACAACCACAGAAAGGGTCAGCATGTTGACTGCAACCAAAATTATGAGTTCTCTGGGAATGGGAATGCCTCCTTTCTCACAAGACCAATGTACAGCTTAGATAAGGTCAGCCCTAAAATGAGTCGCTGCTCTTCTGCTGTGGGAGCAGGGAACCAGGGTAAAGGAAGGCTCACATGCTCAAAAGACAGAACAAGAGTATTTGGCAATTCTTCTGGATAAGAATATGTGCAGCCCAGGGTTTGGCAGAACGGGGTGGGAAGCTACTCATTAGCTGGCTTGGGGTGGCACCTTATTTATTATAATTAAGAAAAAATGCCTAATGAGTCTATTAAAAATCTTAAGATGCTTTGAAAGGCAAATTGTACCCACCCAAGAATTTTAGAATCTCATAAGCAGACAAAATCATCTTTATTTGGAAGAATTCTTGTAGAATTTAAATCTATTATGGATTGCAGAGGGATAGAGACTGGGTGAAATGAAGGCCTATATTTTTGGGGAAATATATTCTCAACTGACTTCAAACAATGCAATGTTTCCACACAGACTGTTTCATACCCTTGCTCCTACACAGTAACGATGATGTAAAATCATATTGCAATTTTAAACAATTACTATTATGAAAGCATAATAACCACATTACAAAAAGTTGGACAAACAGAAAAGCTTAGAAAACTTACCATTAAATTTACATCCTAACACAGTGTTAGCATTCTGCTTTTTTTGTGTGTTATTATTAATATGAAAAAAACCTTTAAAAATCATGAATGTAGGTACAATTTCATTACATTTCACTTACCCTGTATCCTCACTCCCATAACAGTTTAATGGCCATAATACTTTCTAAAATTAATAATAGGGAAATGGTCATCTCCTTTTGGTTTTGTTTTTCCAATTATAAATAATGGTTGCATGAATAGTCAACTGGATTTTAATGAAAAACGGATAATACTGGTTAATAATGGGCTATTCTGTTACCACAGCCAGTATACACCAGCACAGAGAAGACCACAAATGGTGTTCATGCAATCAGAGGGGTGGTGATGAAACGTGAGCTTAAGGACTGACAGGTGTGGGTCACTTGAAACACAAGCGACTGACAGAAACAAATTCAGAGATCAGAGCATGTTTTACGGGGAAAGAGTAAAGACTTTTTAGAACATTACTGAATTTCTTGAAGTAGATTAGCACCGGTTTTTAATGTTACTTAAAGATTGAAACTTTCAGAGTTGTACAGATGTTAAATTGCTCATTCTTTATAAAATGAGTTTAGGAGTGTATTTACTTATAAAGAGAATGCTGGTAACAGTAATGCAGATCTCAGAGATGGTTCTCACGCACTCCTCCCACCCAGGCCCATTCCGTCATCAAGTCTTGAATGCCTGCAGCCAGTTCCCTTTTCCTGTCTGCCCCACATCACGTTCCCCTGGAGGATGACTGCATCCTAGCCGCCTTCAGTCTACTGCCCTCCGGGTCCACTCCCCATAGTGCTGTCAGGGTGACTCTCTGTTGTGATTTGTTCCATCTGGTCACACTCCAGCTTCAGTCTTTCAGCTGCTCCCTGCTGCCCTTGGATCCACCACCAAACTCCTTAGTATGTCAAATGCAGCCCTTCATCCCCATCCTGCACCCCCTGCTCACTCATCCTCCATATTCCACTATGTCTAAGTGAATTCCAGTTCCTGCATGTGTCCTGTTTTCTCTGTCTGTGCCTTTTTGCACATTCTATTCTCAGTGAATGGAAATCTCCAGGATTTTTACCTGGTGAAAGCCGCGTTGTTCTTCTGAGACTCAACTGAATGTCAATTCCACTACAACCCCTGTTTCAGTCAGATGCCCCTGGTGTAGGGATCTGCCTATTTACTTCTTCCACTAGATGCTGACCTCTGAGTGGGCAGGGGTTGTTTCTCTCTTCCCATAGCCTAACTACAGTGCACTGCAAAGAGCAGACAGTATGTGCCCAACAGATGCTTTTATTGAAAGGGTAAACAAATAAGCAGCTGATTGCCTGGCACTTTAGGAGACAAGTATTTGTTGAATGAATAAATGAGTGAATCTTGTAAGAAGGGCCTTCAGTAATTAAATCTGCTAGGATGGGAACTGAGATACACATGCTTAGTTTAATTTAGTCTAGAGTAAGTAACATAACAATGCAATTCTGATACATCTTAAATATGACTGTTTATTTCTGAATGAGAAGGAAACTGTTTTGTTTAACGGCAGACAAGCAGAGATACACCCTTGCATAATTCTGCACATTGAAGGAGATTTGTTCATGAAAATTACAGGACATAGGTACCTGGCATGAACCTACAGGTGTTAACACAGATAGCGAGTGCTTTACTCACAAGTATTATTTTCTATTCCTTTAATGGTCCTCAACAAATACTTGTTGGCTAAATAATTGTAATGGCTACCACTAAGAAAACAGAAAATCTTGAGGGTGAGACTGGAGGAAAAAAATAGTACCAACTTATTCTATGTAGTTCAGTGTATGTATCTCTGTTTAATGCACTAAAATTTTCTTGAAAATACGTTGTTAAATATAATGTTAAATCTCGCTAAAATGTGACTAACAAAAAGTTGCCTTTTTCTCTTTCAGGTCAACTGCAGAACATAATTAACAAAAAGTATTTATAACACAAAATCCTGGTAAGAATACTCAAAAGAGAATTATCTAACTCTGAGAAAAAATGAGATAACTCATAGTTGAAGGAACTCATGATTTATAGGAAAATTATTGCTCACACATGTAGATAAGAGCATAGAAAAATAATTCAGTGTATCTTAAAGAAAAGGGAATATGATCCAACGTATAGTTTAATTACCACAAAGGCTCCCCTATCTTTATTAATGTTTTGCTCACAAAACATTAGTAAAGAAACAGGCATCAGTTTTCACAGCAGTGTATTACACATTAACTGCCAAGTAACTCCCTGTACTGCCTGTAACAGCAGCTTCACCTACCAGGTCTGAGACGTTCTGCATCCCCTTGCTTCTTCCTTCTTCAGGCCGAAGCTAGTCCACCACCTCAATCGTGCTGCCAACAGCTTGCACGGTTCCCACACGGGGTTCCCTAGCACCCTACGCACTCCCTTGCTCTCAGGTGGTTAAGGCTGCTACCTGACCAGGGTCACTAATTTTCATTCTGAATTTCTAATTAGCAAATAAATGCAATTATTCATTCAAAAGGACATTTATGTAGCACCTATAAAGTGGCAGACAGTAAATCAGACATCAGGGATCTAAAGAGATAGCAGACACAGTTTCTTCTCTGAGGACTCCCAGGCTAGAGGAGGGGACAAAAAAATACTACCTCAAGTGTGCAGGACTGTGACAGTGAAGGGGCAGCTACTGGACCTCAAGGAGGGCTTTCTGGGAGGGGATTTTTGTGGAGAATCATAGTTAAGGATAATGAGGCAGGTGAAAACAGGAGAGCTAATAGCATGTGCACAATGCAGGAGACACGAATGACAGATGACAGACCAGGACATGAACCACAAGTGGCTGGAGTGGCTGGAGATGGTTAGGCCTGAGTGCAGAAGATGAGGCTGGGAAGGCAGGCAGGGCCAGTGGCGCACTACAGACTGCGTCCCACATAGAAGTAGTCTGTACTGCCTCCCCCGTAGGTGACTCTCTGTTGTGATTTGTTCCATCTGGTCACACTCCAGCTTCAGTCTTTCAGCTGCTCCCTGCTGCCCTTGGATCCACCACCAAACTCCTTAGTATGTCAAATGCAGCCCTTCATCCCCATCCTGCACCCCCTGCTCACTCATCCTCCAAAGTCCACTATGTCTAAGTGAATTCCAGTTCCTGCATGTGTCCTGTTTTCTCTGTCTGTGCCTTTTTGCACATTCTATTCTCAGTGAATGGAAATCTCCAGGATTTTTACCTGGTGAAAGCCGCGTTGTTCTTCTGAGACTCAACTGAATGTCAATTCCACTACAACCCCTGTTTCAATCAGATGCCCCTGGTGTAGGGATCTGCCTATTTACTTCTTCCACTAGATGCTGACCTCTGAGTGGCAGGAATTGTTTCTCTCTTCCCATAGCCTAACTACAGTGCACTGCAAAGAGCAGACAGTATGTGCTCAACAGATGCTTTTATTGAAAGGGTAAACAAATAAGCAGCTGATTGCCTGGCACTTTAGGAGACAAGTATTTGTTGAATGAATAAATGAGTGAATCTTGTAAGAAGGGCCTTCAGTAATTAAATCTGCTAGGATGGGAACTGAGATACACATGCTTAGTTTAATTTAGTCTAGAGTAAGTAACATAACAATGCAATTCTGATACATCTTAAATATGACTGTTTATTTCTGAATGAGAAGGAAACTGTTTTGTTTAACGGCAGACAAGCAGAGATACACCCTTGCATAATTCTGCACATTGAAGGAGATTTGTTCATGAAAATTACAGGACATAGGTACCTGGCAT